AGCGCCCGTGCACGCTGCGCGCTGCACGCGGCCAGCTGCTGGCCGAGCCAGCCAGCGACCGGTTCGACCGAACCGCCACCCGGTCCAGACCGGTCCAGACCGGCTGGACCGGTTCAGCATCATTTTAGACGGTTTAGCCCATTTCAGCCCGGTTTAGTATTTTGAGTCATTTTCAGTAAATTTTCTGGGATTAATTCAGTTCAGAAAAATCATGTCCAAATCAGTTCAGTTTAATTCAGTTCCGGTTAATCCGGATAAATCTAAAAATCAGATTAAGTTAAATAGAGCATCTTAACGAGGTTAAGCAGTTAAGTTAACAGTCTGAGCATAGTCAATAGTAATTGTTTATATTATTTTATTTTCAGTTTAGCAGGCATCAGCACTACCTATCAGTTCAGCAGTTCAGGTGGGGACTCAGACTAAGTACTACATTGTTTATAATTGCTCTACCATGTACGAGGTATGTATTTTCAGTATCCGCTCGGAATGGCCGCCGGTCCATTCTGGGTTCTAGTGGCCCTAGTCTGCCCACTAGAGTGTGCACATGGTGTCCGGTTCGCCGGCAGATGTTCAGTTCAGATGTGACTTCGGTCACTACGTGGCTTCGGTCACGAGTTCAGTTATCAGTTACGTGACTTCGGTCGCGAGTACATGACTTCGGTCGTGAGTTCAGACCGGTATCAGTTCAGTTCAGACATATATGCTTAGTTCATGATATTGTTATTATTTACGATGTTTTACATTAGTATGAGTTTCCACGGAGCACAGTGCCTAGTGCTCACTCCCCAGTTATTTCATGTTTTTCTGGTCAGCAGGTCGGGCCGGGAGTGTGACATGACGAAGCAGCTCGGGACATTCAGGATATTTGTATATATGTTTTCGGATTGTATAACTAACATTTACGCTTCCGCTTACGTTTTGACTGTCTTTTGACGATGTTTGATGATTTTGACGGTTTTATCATATTTTGATAAACTTTTCAGAAAATAAGTTTTAAATAACCGGATGTTTTTAATAAGTTAAAACAACGGTTTTCCTAAAGTTAAGTAACGATTTTCACGGTAGCACCCCAAATCAGTTTCGCAAAGTAAAAATGTTTTAGTTTTCAAAGACTTTGCGAATAAATGCGCTACTCTGATTTATCTAGTAAGGTGGGGTGTTACAATTGGTATCAGAGCACGTTCCTGCGTCTCTGATAAGTTTTCAGTCAGATAAGTTTTCAGTAAGTAAGTTTTCAGTAATTTTTCAGAAAGGTTTTCAGAAAAGTTTACAGTCCGAAATTTTTCAGTAAGACCCGAACCGTCATGTTCACGCCCCGCCGACGACAGGTAAGTGCTGTTGCAATTCAGTTTTTCAGTTATTATAAACATATTACTTTGTCTATGCTCAGAATTGAGGATCAGAACTTTAGTTAAGATGCTCGAATCAGA